GCGCGGTGAAAATTGCATACGTCGTGGATAACACTTGTAACACTTGTCCCCTGCCTGTCCGGTAACAGACCACCGGACGCAGCACTGGCCCCTGATGGGATCGCCGGCCTGGCCGCTGACCGTGGCCGCCGTCTACCTCTACTTCGTCCTCTCCTACGGCCCCAGGCTCATGAAGACGCGGCAGGCGTACTCCTTCAAGACCTTCATCTACTGCTACAACGTGTACCAGGTCATCGCCAACAGCCTCATGTTCTACACGGTAAGGACGCGAAGGCTGGTGGCCACGCGCGCGGCTGCGCGGCGGACGCGGCGGGTCCCGTTGGCAGCCGCCCGGGGCCAGGTGACAGGACAGAGGTGCCGCGCTCCAACCTCCAGGCGCGGACCCGTAGCAGATCCGGAGGAAATGAGGGGGGGGGGGCGGAGTGAACGTCCCTCCCGCTGGTGTGGGACTTCGATAAACTGCCTGGTGGGTGGGCAATTTTTGACCTGCAACGCGCCAAAAATTAGACATTAGCTGTCATAATGCATGGGCTGCAGATTGGCACTTAAAAAGAGATTTGATGATCGCAAGTGTGGCACATTTTAGAGTTGTGCCAATCCCCCCCCCCCCCAGTGCAAGAAAAAAATGACCGTTTATCGTGTTTTTTTAAAGCTTGAACGCATCAAATCGTTTTATAAGTGCAAGTCGCGGGGGGGGGGGGGTAATGTTTCCTTCCGGTGGTGTGGGACTTCAATAAACTGCCTGATGGGTGGGCATTTTGTCCTGTAATCTGCCTGAAACTAGCCATAAGGCATGGACATTTACTCCCTGTTCGGCCCGCCCTTCATTTTCGTAAAGCCTATCAACCCATTAAAATTACAAGTTTCGAAAACAAGATATTGCCTAGTGAGGGGTGACTTGCCGAATGGCTTATTTGCGGAAGGGTGTAATCACGGGGGTATGGCATGGCGCAACGACGTTTGGTGGACCTGTAACACATTTGTCTGATTTGCACCACTGAGCCCTATCGACCTTTCTGTGTCCTCCAGGTGCTAACCAGCGGCTGGACCACCACCTACAGCTTGGGGTGCCAGCATGTGGACCGCTCCGCAAGCCCCGAGTCAAACAGGGTGAGTAAGAGCCGCGCTCACAGCTCAAGCTTTCCGTTCTGCCTAGTGGAAATTCACTCATGTGCGTAAAATAAAGGCGAAGCAGTGCGAATTACCCCGGAATAACTAGGATCGCTTGAATGAAACGCCATGAAATAGCTGGTGTACTGTTTTCTTGAGTCATTGCACTTCTCGAGTCAGACGAGACTGCTTCGCACGGCCGGAACACAAGCTATGTCACCATATGAATGACAGTGTGTCCAGTGTGTCAGTAAGACGAGGGGGTAATAAATAACTCCGGAAATCACGTGTACACCGGCCTGGGAAACACCGGGATAAAAATTAAGCGAAATCAACAGAGATCGCTCATACCAATCGGGAAACGCTAGTGAAACTGCCACGAATTATTCGAAATAAGCGTTTTCTATACTACCAGAAAACCTAAGGAATCAATACAAGCGCACGGGAATCAAGTATTTCGGGAATCATGTGTATACACATCAAAAGGGTAGTTGTTGCCCCCTTCCACGTCCGCGCTCCACGCTCCACGTCCACGAAGGACCGTCGGGAGGCGAAAGCGCTGGAAGCGAGTCGCTCAGGGCGGGCCGCCGGCCGCACACAGGTGCCTGGCGGGTTGGCCTACCCAGCGTGTCGCAGGCGCTATCGTTATCGTCACGGGAATCGTTTGTCATGGCGGCACTTCTAGCGATTAAGCTTGCACGCTGCTCATAAGGCCTATACAGCGGAGTGTCACAGCAACTTTACAGTGAAACCTTGTCAAGTCCGAGGTCAAGTCCAGTTTTTCCAAACCGTAAAACTCCCGAGGACTGTCATTTGTTAATGTCCCTGCGACTGTCTGAGTGTTTTGTCTCGGCTAAAGTAAACTTGATTTTGGAATGATGTGTTTTTTTTTCCTCAGATGGCGACTGCGATGTGGTACTGGTTCCTGTTGAAGCAGACTGAGCTCGTCGAGACGGTAAGCCATAGTCAGCCATTATTTGCTCGCAATGTTTGGACAGAATCGTTCTCTTTATAATCGTCTCCGGTCACTCGCCGGTTCCTGACCTTTCCTGACTATACATACGGTCGAAACGAACGTGAACAGGTCTCGTGAGAGAAATAAGTTATGCAAGAGATGCGAGAGTGGAATGTTCTCATGCCGCTATCAGCATTATACAAACTCTCCCAAATTGACTGTGGGCCAATATGCTAATGCCGGTGACCTCGTCGCAACCATGACAATCGGATAAACTCAAATCGTCCCCATTGCAGGTTCTTTTCGTGCTGCGAAAAAAGAAGCGTCAGATCTCCTTTCTTCACATCTACCACCACGTCTCCACTTACTTCATCGCCTGGTTCGCGTGCAACTTCGCCCCCGGTATGTTCATTTCATAAGCTCTAAAAGTGAGCGACTTTTTAAATGTCTCTCCTTGTGTGATAATCATAACCGTACCACTGTACGCTCCCAGGCGGCCTCACCAGCTTCAGCGTGATGCCCAACTCCCTAGTCCACGTCATGCTCTACTCGTACTACCTGCTCTCCGCCATAGACAACGACACCCTGCGCAAGACCCTGGGTCGACTTAAGAAGTACCTCACCACGCTGCAAATCGTAAGTGCCAACTTGCGAAGCGAATTCAGTGCATGCCAACGAGGGGATGTGTTGTGTGTGGTTCGAGGCGTGCACGCCCTTTTACTCCCCTCGTTTTACAAAGCAATATTTTCCATTTCTTGGAGCTGATTCCGAAATATGTCGAGCGCCTTTCCCAGCTATACTCATTTGACTGGAACCGCGTGCCGCGTGCTATATTTATAAATGCAAACACAACAGTGTACTAAGTTAATGTAAAGAAGTACATGCAACGAGTGTACGTGGAAGCATGCTCATTAATGCGATAACTTTTCATTGCAAAAATGATGCCATGACAAAGTTATACGTTTGCTCTCTGGTTGAGCGTCACCCCCGTCTGCTCTGTGGTTGTCTTTTTACACTTAATCCGCTGGAAAACTTTTTTTATTTTATTTTCGATTACATCGTCTCGAGACTTGCATCCGTCCCCATCGCAGCCAGCATCAGCGTAAGGTGATGTTAGTCAAAACCGAGCCAAAACGATACCGCAGCGACACGTCGTCTGCCACACCCCGCGCGTGACCACAGGGGGAGAGGGAGAGTTTGGCCATCTCTCTCTCAATCTGTCTTCCTTCTTATAACGCGACACTTCTGCTTCTGCTACGCGACTGCCTGCACGCGTCCATGTTTTCTTCCCCGGTGAAAGTAATGTTTGACCTGCAACACTGCCATACTGTAATGGATAGTCACTTGCTTGCCCGAATAGAGGGACGTATGATTTCGTCTCTCTAATAGAGTGATGTTCGCGAAAATCACTCAAAATGAGTGATATTTGCAACCAAACATGTCGCAGAAATGAATCTAAACGAGCAACTTTAAATGTCGCTCCTCCAGGGGTCACCAAATCGGATTCAAAAGGTTGCTCCTCCAGGAGCGACTTAAGTCAGTCCTAGACTTCCAGTAAATACAGCTATATTAAACCAGGACCTTGCTGGGCGATACCCTCGACAGGGCATACTTACACCCTACGTATCCCGTATTCCGAGCCGCGCAGATTTTAGGTGACACATCATGTGTCAGACAGGAATACACCAAGGGCCTGACCGGCGTGACACACCAGGCGCAGCTTGGTCTTTCTGTACGACCAAGGATGATTATCACGTTGGTCTCTAGAACGAAATGCGAGGCAAAAAATTAATCAACCGTCACACTCAACGCTCAACGGAAGCATACGAAAAGTTCCAGCATCTTAGTCGCCAAATAGGTGTGGTTTTTGTGCGAAAACCTTTGCTTCTGTTCGGTAGAATCTGAAGTGAACGCATAAAACCACGTCCCAAATCCTTTCAGATCACCTCAGAAAGGGAGATGGTCGAATGCGCACTTCCCGTTTTATTAGGTTCGTTTTGCGTATAAAGGGATCTCAGCGCCTGTGAGACTTAAGGTAGGCCACCCCGCCGTACACGTGTGCGCTACGGGAAATATGTTGCCTACCTATGGGCGCTAAGCCAGCTTGCATACGCGTAACTTGGCAGATTAGATTCGTAACAGAAAATGACGGACCTACTTTCTGGATGATGAGATAACCAAGGAGGACCCCTAACACCGACCCCAATATTGCTTATTTCATTTCACGAGTAAACGAGTGGACACAGGGAAAGCCCCCATTCTTTAAACAGTGCATAACAGCTGACATCAGAGGGTGAGGTCATCAATTTTTAATTTTGGTTCCTGTGTCAGATTGAGGCGGGTCCAGGCCAGTGCACACAGAACTTAACTGTCTGAAAAGTGGCGAATAGTGTCTCAAATGACACGACCCTCTGTTCCAGATCCAGCTTGCCGTGATCGTGGCGCACTCGGCGCAGGCGCTGGCACCGTCCTGCACAGCCGCCCCCAAGGCGCTCGTCTACAGCTACATCCCAAACGTTCTGCTTGTCATCTACCTCTTCTATAACTTCTACCGGGTCAACTACAACAACGCCGCCAAGTCGCGGGTGGCCGCACCGACCAAGCTGGACTAGAGGGCAACTCCGCCATAGTGCCGACGACGTTCTCCTGAGTGTCTCCCCGAAAGTGACTCAAACACTCGTACCCCTGCTCCGTGAGGGCTGAGGGCATTGTCCGAAAGTGTTCTTCGACGTCACCCGTCAGCCCCCGCGAGTACCCAGAGTCTTCCAACTGTCTTCCTCATGGGAAGCAAAAGAGAGGAGCGCGGTCGGCGTTGACGTTTTTGTTCCAGCGTCATATCGTCCTCAGCTTACCGTAGCTCAGCCTTGACGTTTTTGTTCCAGCGTCATATCGTCCTCAGCTTACCGTAGCTCAGCCCCACACGGGGATGGCAGAGTAGGACTTTTTTTTAAAAAACAAACAAACACTGTTATCAATTCATTTCTTCTCTTTCCCCGCTGTGTACTTGTTTCCCGGCAAGGCAAGGGGATGTGGTAGTCGGTACGCACGCGAAGAGAAAGGGGATGAGAGAGACTGATGTACGAGAGAGAAAGTCGACGAGAGCGAGAGTGAAGATGAGTCGTGTGAGGGAGTGCGAGAAAGAGAGAGAGAAAGGGGCGGGGGGAGGGGGTGGTCTTCCCCGCTGACCCCCGTCAGGCAGGGCGCCGCGCCAGCCCCACCCTCGCTTCGACCCACTTATCCAGCTATTCGGTAGAAATGTCTCAGACGTATTTCGACAGACACAACCTTTTTCGTAACTATGTTGACCACTCTTATTGTCCTCCCCGCGAAAGAATACCAGGGAAAACTGTCCGCTAAAATAATGGTTTGCAAACTGCGTGTAAGTTTTCCCGCGAAAGTTACGGCAATAACCTTGTGATGAGCCTGATCGCATGACGAGTAACCACTTCCTGCCCGGCGGGCTGGTAGCGCCGGTGCTGCCAGGGATGGTGATGGTGCCACCGCCCGCCGCCTCACGGCCGCGCCGCGTCCCACTCGCACCGCTCGCTCCACGCCGCTTCACGTGGTGGCCGAGATGCAACGATAGCCGTGGCCCCCGGGTACCGGCGGGAGTTAAGGGCACCTCACGCTTCATATCCAAGTCGTTGGGTGCCACCTGACACCGCCACACCGACTCCTAAAACAGTCACAAACGAAACGCCTGGATCATCCTCATTTACGTCAAAATCAAACAAAAAAAAATCTAAACAGCGGGAAGAGTACATCGCTCGACTTGTCATGCACGTGCACAATATGTCTTCCCGGGGCTATCTAGTGTCAGTGTCGTTCCGACCTTTTCACGTTGTGAAGATGGTTGACAGTGTGCCCTCGTCCTGAGTTCTCGCCCAAAAGTTGTTTATGGCAATACTTTTCCAATTAAGTCTAAAACCTTTAGCATGTATAAATAGAAAATTATTGTGATCAATTCGATTGTATATGTAGTTTTTAATCGGTGCCTCTTTCGGGAGGTTCCAAACCTTGTGATTTCTTTTTATAATTATGTTTAAAAACGTGTATAGTGTTTAGAAAAGAGACAGCGGGTATGCCAGCCAATCCACATGCGTGTTGGATGGGTGGCATACCCTAATGTCGACAGGCGCTCGGGTTCATCCCTTAGAGCCAGGCAATTCGTCCTCCAGTTTCGTCTCATTCAAATAGACGTTAGTTCTAAGTAGTAATATGTTCGGTGTTGTAGTGCACTAAAAAGAAGTTGCACATATGTTTTCTTTGTTGATTTTGATAAATGCCTAAATAAGATTGTTCTTTTCTATTTCCTCTTCCAGATACATGCTCAGTGTCTGTAAACCTCCTCTATTAGAATTTGACATGAGATGTACAAATCAATTGTTGATACATTGGTATATTTCCTTGTAGGTTCCATTTCAAAATGAACGTTCTTTTTAGGGGTGTATTATTTATTGTAAAGAGATCTTAGGCTTAGAAAATAACATGACAATAGTGAGATTGTTTCTTTTTATTAGCAAATCACAACATTGTGGACCAATTAACAAATACAAGATACTTGTAAAAATTGTGTAACTTGTTCACTGACAATATGTCAACATAATGTATAAATAGTTCAAAATTAAAAAAAAAAACTTAATGTATAAATGAATATATTATGTATACTACACACTACTACACACATGAAAGAAGAACAGATATGTTTAGAGGCAACATAGTAAAAAAGAAAACATTTGGCATCATTGACTAGGCTAGTAAGCAAGAGATCTGACATGAGCAAAGTGGCAAAAAGACAGGTGTAAAATTCTTCAATATCTTTTATCTGTGATAACAGTCACAAAAGGAATGGGAATGCATACTGGACGGTAAACAGAAGTTCTAAGCTAACTCTTTCCTTCCCTGGAAAATCCACCTTTTCCTTAGGCGTAAACTAATGAGAGCATGTTCTGAGCTACGTTCTGTGCTGATTTAAGAAAGACCAAAAGTAAAACAATTGTTTAAGCATTAGGTACAGTTGTTTTTGAAGTTGATCTAAAAAACTTTCTTGTACTTGTACCCGTTTTCAGTTCTACATTCATGGCTAATGTCTCCATTAAAGGAGATTTCGCTGACGGTACCACCTGTATACCGTCTAAAGATAAGGCTTTCAGACTTTCCTCAACACCTAGCATTTTGACTGATTTCTGTGCATATTTACCAACTCTTTGCAAAGGTAATAAACCATTATCAGTAACCACATTAGCTGAACCCATTACATGCTCATCTGGAGCAGCTGCAACAAATGGTTCAATTGATGATGCCACTGATGTGCTGGAGGGCGAAGGCACAATGACTGTGACTGGAACAACTTGATTGTTACCTCCATTTTCATCATGACCACATTGATCTAACCAGTCATAAGATGTGGAAGGAACAACTTGGTTTAGATTTTCCTCCATTTTCCTTCTTATCTACTGGTGGCTCATAGGTACAAAGAGAAATGTACTCAGCCACAACCTTAAATAGTAAGCTTATCTTAAAAATCTGATCAAAGCTTAATTCCAAGACACATACCATACATAAAAACGTTTAGTAGGCTAATTTTGCCCACTATGGTTTTCTAAGCCATCTAAATTCAAATAATTCATATACAATTTTCCCATGTAAGCATAAATTATATGGCACAAGATATTTCAAACTATCCAAAGTAGTTCTTAAATATACTAAAAAATCAGCATGGAAGAAAAAATATTTTGTTGGATTTGAATCACAACACAAATTTTGTATAAGCTTTCTAAACAGCTTATTGACGAAATTGATTTATGGGGTAGCTCAGGATAGCACCTCATAAAATTGAACAAGCTGATAGACCACAGCATCCCCATTTACGAGGTGTCTTCTGAGGTGGTAGCAGGTCAAGATCATCCTCATCCTCCTCACCTCCAGACAAAGGCAAGTTTTCAATACTGAAAGTGTCTGATAATTCTTGTCGACCATCCCGCATCTTCACAGGGAAAAAATTAATATCTTCTTCACTGCAATGTAACAGACAAAAGTTACAAAATATTTTCAAAGAAATTTCGTAAACCAAACATATAAAATATCACAACCAAATGTTCAGTTTGCTCACCTATCCTCTGAATCCCAGTCTACCAGAGGATGATGTTCTTTACTGGTTGGGGGAGCCGGAGATTTACTAGGTATTGAGAGGCGTTGAATTGGGATTAGGCTAGAACCCTTTTTATACTCCTGAAGGCGTTGCACTTTCTTTGCTTGTTCTATACGCCTTTCTAAAATGACAGAAAAAAATTTAAAATGCATGTAAGTGACTATTAAAAAGAAAAATTACAGTTTTAGGTCGGTGTAAACAAAGTTCTGTTGGAGAGAGAGAATTAATTTGCCAGCAAATAAAAATGAAGCAGACAAGTTACCTAATTTCCGATGAAGCTGTTTTAGATTTGTTTTCTGGGGACTAGGAACAGATGTACTGCTGCAGGAGCTGTCACTTGTCTGGAAACAGAGTAAAAATATTTGGTCACCTAGAAGGAAGTCGTGAAAGCACTGGATTCTTTGTGTTTAAGTAGAGGGAGGAAGAGAATACCTGGAAGGAGGGAATGGGCACTCCACATCCTAACCTCTCATCCTGAAGAGGTTTTGGATCGCTGTCGATCCCGCTGTCTTCCATGGCGATGGAGCGACATGGGAGGCATGGGCAGGAAACTTACCAGGTCCAGCCAACGAAACCATACGCAAAGCTTATCTTGGAACCATGATAAGGTGAGGACTGGGGCAGCAGCTGTCTGTCAAAAAGTCCACCCTGATGGTCTTATCTACTGCATTTGCATAGTTTAGCAAAGTCTCTCATTCCTCAAAGGTGACAAAAAATATTCCTTCTTTCATTCATCAAATATGATTCACATGATGCTCTGAACTACCCCTCGTTCCATTTTCCTGAACCCTGATTACATTTGAAGTTCCATCAGTTCCATACTTCTTTCGTCGTCTGCTGCATGAGTTTATTCGCAGTAAAACCTCGGCGGTAAAGGCCGTTATTCGCCCTTCGAAGCAGTGTGTAAACATGGCGTCAAGCAAGAGCGAGGAGGATGTTGACGATAAGGGCGAAAATGATGAAGGGAAACATCCTGAGGGCAATCTATTGAATTTTGAACCAGAGGTACCAGTGGAGAGTATGTTGGTCCCCACTGACAACTTCGACTCTTTCGAACAGGAGGCTCCTCCTGACCCAGCCACCTTACAGGATGATGACAACCTTGTGGAATGTCAAAAAATTGCTAGAAATACTTCGGATGAAAATACAGAGGATCCTGATAAGGTAAAAATTCTTCCCTGAAATTGTTTTGATTCAATCTTCTCTTACCATCATCAGTTATTATGTTTTTAAAGTTCCCTTCAAACTGGTAATAATGAGAAAACATACAGCGTCACACAGTATTTTGCGGTATTTTGTCTTCTATTTAATTTTTACATTGCAAACATATCTATGTTACTATTTATTTACATTGTTTTATAACAGTCACAAGCAATAGAACCTCCTCTAGGTAGTTACTGCTTAATATGTTGTCCCAAAATTAATTCCCTGTATTCCCAGTTTTGTATATTTTTCATTTCTGTTTCAGAATGGAACCAGCCGTTCAATGAGTGAGTTGAGTTTAGTGAGTGTAGAAAGCTCTGAACCACAGCAAGTTGATGATGAAGTTAGCAATAACTCTGAATGGAGATCACAAGAAAAACATATCTTTATCTTAAGCTCTGCGGGAAAACCAATATACTCTCGGTAATGTTCCACATTTAGTTCTAAACTATTATACATGTCTTTTAGAGTATCAAAAAATAGTATCATGTACCTTCATTATTATTTCTTTTGTAGACATGGTTCAGAAGATAAATTGGTTACACTCTTTGGTGTTATGCAGGCATTAGTCTCTTTTATTGGTGATGACGGAGATACAGTTCGTTCCATTCATGCTCAAGGCACTTTATTTGTATTTTTAATCAAAGGTCCAATAATTTTAGCTTGTGTATGCAAAACAAGAGAAAGTGTCTCTCAGATCACTGTCCAGTTAAAGTAAGTTAAAATTTGCACTTGTCTAAATCCTCATCATTTCATAAATGCAAATTATGGATAAAACTCTTTGCTTTCAGTTATGTTTATAGCCAAATTGTGAGTGTCTTAACACTTGAGCAACTTACTAGAATTTATGAGCAACGAAGAAATTACGACTTAAGAAGACTTCTGGCCGGTGCAGAGAGGCTTGTTGATCATCTTCTTATTGCTTTAGAAACTCAACCTGCTCTTCTTCTTGGTGCAGTGCAATGTCTGCCCCTGGCCTCAACAACAAGGGATACTATCACAAGTACAATTGTGTCATGCTGCAACAAAATAAAGGTATGATTGAACAAATTAAGAAACCTTCATTGAAATTGGGAAATAAAAACCAAAGACAACTTTTACCAGTGTTTATGATTTTCTTTCAGAATTTGGTTTTTGCAATTTTAGTTGGAGGTAACCAATTAGTTACATTAATAAGAATGAAAAAGTTCTTCTTACACCCAGCTGATTTACACCTAATCCTTAACCTAGTCAATAGTTCAGAAAGTTTCAAGGCAGCTGAAAGCTGGACACCTATCTGCCTACCCAAGTTTAATTCAAGGTGAGGGTAATAAATTCTACCCAAGTTTACAATTTGCTTTTCAAAGGTAAAATTGATTGATATATTTTTCAATTTTGATTTTAGAGGGTTTCTTCATGCTCATGTTTCCTATCTGGCCGAAGACTGTCAGGCATGTCTACTTCTCTTGACAGTTGATCCAGATTTGTTTTTTCCACTATCAGAAGCAAAACAAAAAATTGTGGAGGTAATTTGCCACTTCACTGCATCACCAGATGTTGTAAAAGAAAAAAATTTTGACGTTTTGATTCTAAGTTTGAATGATCATTTTGCAGAAATTGCGGAGAGCTAGTTTACTTCAATCAATCAATGCCGCATTGGCACACCCAGGGACTCCTGTGTCACAATTAGGTGTCCCAGAGGCCCGGCACTTTTTGTACAAGTGCAAGGCTACTGCTCAATTTTGGGGGCCAGTACCTGCTCCACCATATCAGTCTTCTGAAGGTGCTAAAAGATTACTGGACCAATACAGAGTTTTGCACCACCGTTTACATGCACCCTCTCAGCCACTCAAACTTCTTTACCTGCAAGACCATGCAGAAACTATGCTAGGCTGGGTAAGTTAAAAATTGATCTGCTGTGTAGATTACTTCTGCTCTAATTTTAACTTAAAAAAAAAAATCTTCCCTCTTCTCTTTAGATAACTACAGGCTTTGAGCTGTATGTTGCTTTCGAGCCTTTGGTAACTAAGGCCAATGCCATTAGTGCTGTGAACAAGATTTTGAGGTGGATTAAAAAGGATGAAAATGGACTATTTATAACCAATGCACCAACATTTTAGTGTTTGAGATTCATGGTCATTGTTACTCGTCCTATTTAATTGAATGGAGGAAATGCATTAAGGTAAAGCAAAGAAAAGTGCATTTATTTATCTGTTATTTATTGTGATAATATCTTTGCTCATGTGTTGCTATATTCTTAAGTGAACTAGATTTGGAATTTATTGGAGTTTCTAGCATATTTTAATCAGAATTTAACTTACGAGAATTGTATAATACATACTTTCCCTGGTGCTTAATTCTGCTATCATACATTTTGTCATCAATCATTTTGTAGATCAAACTTAATTTTCCTTGATCTTTTTAAAAATTCCCTAGAGGAAAGTAATTTGTCTGGTATTTTAGTAACAGTTACTACTTTGTAAAAATGAATAATACAAACTTTTAAAGTTGTCTACCTGTATTGATAGTAAAAATTTCTCACTATCAAGTTTTTTTTTAATGAAATGTCATAATGTGATCAATTATAATACACTATATATATTTCTTACCAAGTGTGTTTTATTTACATTCACATCATACCAAATGTTAACATCCATTTCATTACAATTGTGATTACACAAGAAAAAATTGACTTTTTAATAACAGAGTAGATTTTTAATTACAATCCAGATGCTAGAATGTAAAAGAAAAAGTAAGCACAGAAACATTACTAAAATGCAGGAAAAATATGTCAAGTCACATCACTATCAGTAATTTCCTGTCAATGAAATGTACATTTCCGTTTTCAGACTGACAAATCAAAGACAAAATCTTGTAAAAATTACATTGTTCAAGATAAAGTAATTATCTGTATCTTGCACGATCTCCGTCGTGATTTCTGTCCCTCTCACGGTCTCTGCCACGATCCCGATCCCTACCTCTTTCTCTCTCTTTTTCTCTACCACGATCACGTTCTCTTTCATATCCTCTATCTTTTTCTTTGTGCCTCCTTTCTTCCTTTTCTAGTCTGTGTCCCCGGTCTCGATCCCTCTCCTTGGAGCGGTGTCTTCGGTCGCGATCCCTCTCAAAGTCTCGTACTCTTTCTCTCTCTCTTTCACGGCTGCGACTTCTATGCTTCTTTTCTTCAGGACGTCGATCCCTGGCTTTGATATCTCTGTCCCGCTCTCTGCTTCTGTGGCGACGGTCTCTATCCCGTGTCTTCTCTTTCTCAAGTGGAGATCTTCGGCTCTTCTCCTCTTTGGCTATTGGGAGGGTTTCCATTGGTTCATCTTCATCCCCTGAAGACTCCATGTTGTCATCAAGATCATCATCTAAAGCTGATATCTTAGGTTCTAACTCATTGTTTTCTTCCAAGACATACCTTTTTTGGATACGGGGCAGAATAACATCTACAACTCTTTCATCACGGAGCAAGCTATCAATATATTCATCCATGTGAGTTAGGACATAAGCACCTTCTCTTGTTTGCTGCCGTAATTTACGGCCATCATTTAGAAGGGGTTCTAAGTATTTATAACAGTCTATTGACGTGCCAACGAGTCTCATATAGGTTGCACCAAGAGCTCTAACATATTTAAATTCCTCATTCTTTATAAATTCCACAATAATGTCTTTCTCAGGTTGAATTTGAAGCATTTTCAGAATGAGACAAAGAAATGGTGTAGGTTTAATATTTCCTCCAAAAACTCCACCAATAAATCTAAGTTCCATGGCTTTGTCAACCATTAACTCAGCTGTCAAGGCAAAGCATTCTTCCTTCCAATACTTGCTGTCGTAGATTCTTGATCGAATAATCTTTTCTACAATGTACTGTGGATTTGTTCCTCGCACTGACTTCGCATCTTTCACGGTGCGGTTGGCCATTTTTCTTTATACTTATAGTTACAAGACCGTCAGGAAGAACCTAACCTTGTTCACCAATGCAAAACAAGTCCCGGAACAACTATCTTGACCATCGCCGGAAAACGAAAAGCTGCCATTACAACAACGAATTTGTGGTTGAACAACACATTAAGAAGGATGGTAAAAATCACTCTACTGGTCGTAACCGTTCAAGTTCGGCGAAAATAACACAAACAACACATGAGACGAGAAAGAGAACAAGAATCCAGTCTACTGTACTACCAACGTTCAGTCTCAACTTAGAACATGAGTCTACCTTTTAAAATGGATGGGTAGGATTAGCTGACATTACACGCTTTCTTCAGCAAGTTTCCTTAATTTTAATTTTTAAAAGAAGCCATTAATTTTTCCACTAGTTTCAAAATAATTTGACGAACTTGTCGATGTATTTATATGTTACGTAGTTGGGGACAATACTGGCATCTGCATAAAAATCCACGTTTTTCAACTGTTTTTCACTGGAGTTGGCGCGATTAAAAACGGCAGTTACAGTTCGCTCTCCTGGTTCACATCGTTTGCTACCCGTTTTCGTTTTGATGAATTAACCCCCCTTCAAGATGTCTCATAAGAATATCTACTACTCCGACAAGTATAATGACGACCACTTTGAGTACAGGTAATTTGAAATTTCCTGTTATTTTCCGCATTGTAGATGTGGGTGTGCTTTGTGGGTTGGACTGTAATTACCGGCTCTGAATAAATTCGTTTAAATCTTGGAGTTAAGTAGCGAAGAGGCGAGTACCCCTATCCAACTCGAACATTTGCCTCATCCATTTCCAAACGTCACATTTAGCTTGCCGGTGGCTGGATGAAATACTAAACCCGCGCCCTAACCCTGTGGTCGCCTACGCATGCCTTCTTTGTTACCGGCATCCGTGCTTGTTGCTTAATATATTTTCCAGTCTATGTTTGAACACTAAGACCTACTGGAAGTTGTTGCTCAATGCTTTTGGTGCCACTGTCTCAGATAGTTTCCAGGTAGAAGCCATCAGCTCCCATCTTATTAGGGTAAATCCTTTATTGCCATTCTCTCCAGTGTGTGTGTTGATAGGAGTTCCATGTCCCATTGTTGAAACTTTGTGACACTAGGGTATGACTATGATCAGTGTCAGTCCCCCTGTTTTACAACAGCAGATTTTTCTGATCTGTTATCTTGTATTGCAAGTGTTGCTCATTTTGTTTCAGGCATGTGGTATTGCCGAAAGATATGCTGAGTAAGATCTCCACCTCACACCTAATGACAGAAGAGGAATGGCGCAGGATTGGTGTTCAACAAAGTCGAGGCTGGATCCATTACATGATCCATAATCCTGGTACATCACTTTATTTTGGTGAGAAATTGCTTGTGTTTAGTTTGAAACCAACCTCTAATGCTTTCGCATCTTCCTACAGAACCCCATGTTCTTCTCTTCAAGCGCCCTCTACCCAAAGGAGAGAACCAAACACAAACCAGTTAAAATTATTCTCTGGTTTCCTTTTCTGTTAAGTTTATTTTAGTTTTACCATCTGTGTGGCATGCTCGCCAGTTGTACCTCAGCATTTACTTTGTTCATAAGTAGTTCTTTCCTTCAGAGATGTATATTTTTAAAGTGATAATGAACTGATTCTCCCTCCTCAAAAAAAGGAAAAAGAATTGTATGACATGGCAGTTTATTTCACACCTATGGGTATCAGCACACTTTTACTAAAATGGTTGGCAGGTTATTGACCAGCTTTGGAGCCTCAATATTTCAGTTTCGGGTTAGATATTGTACATATATTTATTTTTATAACATGCCACTTTTGCCATCCCCATACCCTTTGTACATTGTGACTCATTAGGTTAGTGATCACCTCCATTTTTTAATATTAGTATCATCCAGCTCCCTGGACTAGAAATTAATGCTTTTGACACATTCAACTCGACTGTTTTACTTGTTAAATGAAGAGGTTGCCTGTCATTTCTTTGTAGTGTTCGGAGCTGGACTTTTAGTCAACTGTTCTTCTACTTCAGAGATGTATATTTTTTTAAGTTAAAATAAATTGCATTTGTAACTTTAATCACTGACTCATTATCTCATCAGTTGACCTTGTGTCCTACAGCTCTTTGTTACTGGGTTAATGTCTTAGAACCATAAGAATTTCCCTTGGTCGCTACACCACGGCAATTTTAAATCCATGAACTATGGAAATAAAATACAGTAAGGGTGATCAGGGAGAAGAAATCACCAACTTAAATAACAATATTCTTTTACTCTTAATTTCATTGCATATCCAAAACATAAGGTTCAAAGAATATCAAGTTATAGATCCAGTAAGTGACCCAGTTAAACTTGAACCTGCACATTGTCTGCTAAACCACCTATTGAAATCAAGTCTCAACAACAACTGAGCCAAATGAGTTCCACAAGGCTGGTCTCGTAAACTGGATAGAAGTTGCAAAAGGAAACTTACTAAATGATCTAACTCTCGACACAACAATGTAAGTTCATCCTCCTGATCAATAGTCATATCCATCTCACCCCAGGAGGCCACACAACTACAAAATCTCTCACACAACTTCAGCAGGATTGACAAACTGTTGTGTACCTGCAATAACCACAAGGAATTAGATGTTTGCTGTCCCTGAAATTCTCTTCCTAAATCTATTCAGTTTATACAATAACAAAAATTTTGAGCCTTACTTACGGGATTATTTTTTAATGAGTCTGGCTTTTGATAGGAAGTTGTGGTTGGTTCATTCTGGGACTGCAAGAGCAACAAAAGTAATCAAATAGTGAATTGGTACTTAACTAGAGAAAAAAATACAACTTAACTAAAATTAAAACTTATTCTTACAGATCCAAGCAGCAAGAAAGTTTGGCTCAGAGTACTAGCTAAAAAATTCATGTGGGCATGGCGAAGAGCTTCAAAATCTCTTGTAGCTTCTAAAGCATTCTCAAGAATGTTCCACTGACTTTCAAGAACATCCACTTGCAGATAATACTGAAGATGATCAACAATGAACATAAGCCAGGTTCTAACTTTCCATATTCTAGAATCTTGCCACCTTCAGAAAAACAAACCAAAACAGAACAAAAATTTCAAAATAGTTTAAAATAAAAAGAATAATTTAGGTTTTAATTTGAAACACTAAAAGTTAAGTTATACCTCTGAGATTTTTTAATCATTTGGAATGTCCATAAATGATGCAACTGTCGTTGAGTTTTTTTTACACGCAGAAGAAAACCAAACAGTTGGTTGTAGCTATCAAGAACGTCAGGTGTAAATACTAGGTGTAATGGCCAACTGACATGATACTTCAGCACAAGTGCCGTCCAACCATTGTCAACTAAAAAATTAGATTAGATTAAAACCTGCTTAAATGAAAAAGGAAAGGAAAGGCATACCCAGCTAAGTATAGTTCCCACAAATCGTACCATCAGCTGATCCAGAAGGGTTTTTATCAATGGCACTAAAGTAAAATTTTTCAATTTTTGCTTCTTCACTGCTGAGGAG